AGGCTTTCGAGATCATTGTGCCTCTCGTCAAACTTGTAAGGTTGGCGTTAGGGCGGTTCTGCTGAAAAATCGGGGCCATCGGCACCCAGAGCGAAAAAAGGGTGAGGGTTGGGATCAGAACTGCTGCCAGGACGGCCCTTGGGTGTCGCGGCGAGCTGGCTGCGGCGTGTGACAGCGGGTGCGAAAGGAGGACAAGAAAATGCGGTTTAAGGGCGCTTCTTGCCTTCCATCTCCCCCGTCGTTTTCTTTCGCAAACAAAACGTTCAGTTTATCTCGCTCCTAGGGTCGTGTGCTTGTATTCAGGCCTCAAAACGGCTGCCTTCCCCGGGTGTTACCAGCAGGAGGCAAAACTTAAGACACGGAAAGTGCCAGCGTACGTGTATGGTGGCTACAGGAGAGCTGATGCCGTGCTGCAGAGGCAAAACCCCCAGATTTTTAAAATTTCTGCTTTGAGCACGCTGTGGTGATGCGGCTGGTGCGGGAGACAGGTTGACTGCAGGGAGGTGGCGAGCGATGGGGGCACCATGGATGAGGAACTCCCTCTCGCTGCAGTCCTGCTTCTGCCCTTGCAACTCCACGTGTCTTCAGTTCCAGAGACTGATTTCATTTTTAATGGACAGAAGTTGGAAGCGAGTAAAAATACGTGCAGGTTTCTATCCTGTTAAAGTATGAACTGGGAATCAAGTAGACGTTCCAGTTCCGTTTAAGCATTTTTCTATTGCAGTCAGCAAAGAGGACTGGCTGGATTGTGACATATAGAATCATAAATTGTAGTTGCATATCACTTTGTTAGGGCTTAAGTGACTTGCTGTAAGGTGGTGTTTCTGCTGCAGGAATAGCAGATGTGCAGTAAATGCTCTTTGTGTGCTGTCCTTTTAGTACCCTTCTGAGCAACTTGTTAGTGTTTTAGGGGGAACTAATCTTTAAAGGACGTGTGGAAGTACTCAGCATCCATTTCTTGTAGTTGAATGAAAGGAACCTAAGCAGGTGATTTATTCTTTTTTTGAAAAAAGGGAAATCATGAGGGTGAGTGCTCGTTTCACACAGTGTGCAGGTGGCTCTGTGCATGTCAAGGAACTCATGTCTGGCTTTTTATTTTCAGGAGGATCTTGAAGCCCTGATAGCAGAATTTCAGACTTTAGATGCGAAAAAGACCCAAGTAATCGAGTCATCCTGCCCACCCCCCTCACCCAGGTAAGAGATTATTTGAGGCTTTGGCTATCACTTACATAGCAGTTGATGGTGCTTTTAATGAAATTTATTCATGTAAAGGTATTTTTCCAGGAGTGGAAGGCATAGCTGATATCTTGAGTTACAAAATATCTGGTATCCTGAATCTCTTGTTAAAGAAGGGACCAAAAGCTTTTTATTTTTTGGCCTTAAAATACACTTTTTAGTCATCTCATGAGCACAAAGGAGGCAAAGCAGGGTTAGATTACAGGACTTTGTAGAAAAATAAAAGTTAAGAGGAAGTTTTGGGTTTGGACTGGAAAGCTGGAAGGACTCAGGAGGCAAAAGGATGTGTCATGAGATACAAGACACTTTATCAGGTGTAGGCTTGAGGTCCACGTACTTTTGGGTTCTGTATTTGTGTTTCCTTTGGCTTGTTAAATTTCTCTGTGATACCTGTTTTCCTCTCCGTGTTGTGGGACAGGTCAGTTAATCCCAGGGGTGTTAGGGTGGTCAGTTAGTTCCTCCGTGGGAGCGGTAGTAGGATCTGTCCCGCCTGGTGCAAAACACTTTGGTGGTACGTAGTTGAGCAGTGCCCGGTGGGGACTGTGGAATAATGACGCAGATAAGTTGATACGAGACGGCCCAGTTCTACCCATAGTTATGTGCCCTCATAAAACTAATTTTTGTTCTTGACGTTCCAGCATTAAAATTCAAGAGCTCACGTCAAAAGGCATGTTAAATGACAGTGTAACGCGTGCTCCTAAAATAGGAGAAGATTTCAGACAGTGTCAAATTAATCTTGTTGAAAGTTTTTAGGAAGTTAAATTCTTTGAGAAGTTTTTTAGCCCTGGGGTGAATATCGCAGCCTAGTTATTTGGCAGATGATGGAGAGACTTGTGTGACTAGAGGGTAGAGGCACTGGTGCTGGCTGAGTTAAAGGCTGCAAGCTTCTGCGTTTCACAAGACTTAAACATCTCTCGTTTTGGCCATCCCTCTTTCTTTTGCAGGCTGAACGGCTCCCTCTCTGCTCACCCTGAGAGAGATGAGTTGATCCTTTTTGGAGGTGAATATTTCAATGGCCAAAAAGTAATGTATACTTCCATTTTCTTTCTTCTTTATTCTACCCTCTCCCTGCCTTTTACTGTAATTTGCGTGAGTCTCATTTGAAGTGAAACTCAAGGCAGCAGTCATAAAATATGTATTTGTCCCTGATTGAGAGCAAAATAGCCTTTTAATTCTGCCGTGATACTGTCTCATGCCTGAACAGTTGGCAGGAAGGAGACATGCTAGAACCCATTAAGGAGTTGGAGTGATTGTCTTGGCATCAATATTTCAGGGCTTCATAATTTCTCCAGACTTACTTATAGCCGTATCTGCCCCTCATTTTGGTAACTATCAAAGAACCTCTATCTTCCACCTTTCAAAACAGGATACTGCTGTAGCTCTGCTGCTGGCAGGGCGTTGCCTGCCTTGGAGATGGGTGCAGTAGCGAACGCTTGCAGGTGAGCACTCTTGTTATGAATTTCTGCAAGTTGCAAGCGTTTATTTTGCTCCTGGAGACAAACTGGTCTTAAAGACCCTGCGAAGTTGTACAGACTGTAGCTTGAAAACTCAAGCCTGCCAATGGTATCTGGCTGTCTTAGCACCACCCAGTGTGATGTGCTAAACTAATTCTGCCCGCTTCACTACCTCTGGAGCTGAGCAGCAGTTTGCACAACTTTAACCTTCACATCTGCCTTGAGCTCCAGCTTCTTAAGTCCTCCTATCTCACAGACTTCACCAGGGGTTTGGGAAAGAACGATCCAGTCCAGTAGATCCCTCTGAAAAAGTTACTGACTCCCGGTCTCATGGAGGAGGTTGTTGTCCTCCTTCCCTGCCTGATGAGGCAGGTGAGCTGTTGCTTTGCAAAACTGGTGCTGTGCTTCTCCCCCTGGCTCACAGATAAAGCTCAGGGGTGCCTGTGGTTGGAGAGACTGGGCCTGTCCGAAGGAGAGCTGTGGTGATGTGCATTTTCTCTTCCTCTCCAACAGACGTACCTGTATAACGACCTGTATGTTTACAACATCCGGAAGAACAGCTGGGCTAAAGTAGAGATCCCGAACCCACCACCAAGGCGATGTGCTCACCAGGTACGGTGCCGGCTGCCAGAGCTGCGGTTGGAATTGTTCTCACGCTGCGCTGAAGGTGGATGGGAGTTGGCTTTTTTTTATTTTTCCTTCCCCTGAGGGTTACTGTCGGGTATCTCTGCTCATGTGTCACAGCTGGACTTTGGCAAATGTCCCAACGGTACCGCACTACGGGCCGCTAACACTGACTCTGTGTGTCGTGCCTTTGGGTTGTAATTTAAATTTTTGTTTTCCTTTGGCAAATGGGCTGTTTTTCTTTTGTCTGTAAAAGCAATAGATGAAGTTGTCTAAATTTTCTCTGGGATGTCATGAAACTCCCTTAGAATTTAGCTCTCTGGTACCTGTGTTACTGGCTGGTTGCGATAAAGAAGGATTTGGGTTTGTTTACTTTGTGTGAACACCACGTTAGAAACGGGACCAAAGACTTGTATTTTTTGCAGGTCTTTGGCCCTCGCCAGCTCTCTGATAGATTATCTTACCTGTTGCAGCAAGTGGCTGGGTGACCCATACGTTTCAAAAGCTGCCATATGGGATACCAGTGTTATTTTCCTCCCCGTGACCAAAGCTCTTTTGAGCTTCCTGGTAAGCTCCAGTACCCTGGTTAGGTTCCTATACCCTTGGTACGCTATCCCTGAGTGCCAGTGGTGCTCTGAGCTGTGTGTCCTTTCTCGAATTGAAATGTTCTGACTTGATTTTTGAGCTCCCTTGTGGTGCTTAAAACAGAACTCGGTTCCAGAGGCCAAACGCTACGAGGAAATCTTAAATCTAGACTCTCGTTTCCCTGGGTGAGGAGGATGGAGGTTGCTTTGTGGGTGTGGAGTTGAGAGGGATTTGTTGGGGTGTTGGTAGCCAGCAGATGGCTGTCGAGCAGCTGAATCTGAACCAGGCGGGCAGGCTGCGCGTCAGGGAGCTGCAGCTGGATTAGAACAGAAATAAAACGAGAAAGCGATCTGATGCGGCCTGCTTCAACAAGAAGTTTGCCGTCCGATAATTAATTAGAGGCACCTTTTCGGTTCAGCCTCATTAGCAGAGTGGTTTGTTGTCTTCCTCGTGGCTTTATTTTTTAACACTTGCTCTGTGTTAGCTTGGAGGTAAAACAGGAGTGTGTCTGTGCGTTTGCGTGCGCATGTTTTGAGTCTTATTTGTCATCTCTGCACTCTGACACACGGTCTTTTTGAGCTACGCTGGCTTCATTACATCAGCTCAAGTGAGAATAGCTCTGGATGGGTGTTGTCAGTTGTTTGAGGAAAAGATTTGAGCGCATAAAGATTTTGAGGCAGCTCTTCAAAAGGTCGCGCACAAGTATGAGCAGGCTGTTGTGTGTACCTGCTCCTTCAGCTTTTAAGCACTAAATACCCATGAAAATCAGACATGTTTAGGTAACTTCATGTTCCTGCAAATCCTGCTTGCGAACACACCCCATATTTTCTCATGTGTTTAGTCGTTGCGTGTGTAGGCTGGTTTATGTCAGGGCATGGTCATGTGTCTGATGCTAAAAATCTTCATTGCTGTTAGCTGGGAAAGATAGGCAGGTGGTGAAGCCCTTCTGAAAAGAGATAATTACCCCAGTGTTTATCTGTGATGGGTACCCTGGGGGGAAAAAAAAAAAGTATAGAAGAATTTTTTTATCCTGTAAAAAACCCCAAGAGATCTTGGTCAAGGAAAAAATTTGTGAAGTCACGTAGTTTCCTTTTTGGGATTTCTTCCTTCTTCCTTAGTCCTTATGCAGATATTTTAATGAAGTCAAGTCCTGCTCTTCTCTCTCTGCTTTTAACTGTCAGATTGCATCGCAGTGGGGCACAAAACCAAAACCATTTGATAGTCTCCTCTCTGCTACTTGCCCTAATCAAAGCACTAACAGTCTTCTCTTGTCCAAATGCTGCATATTCAGTGCTTGGGGTATGTTTGTTTTCAGAGGGAGTGGTGATGCTTCCCAGGTCTTTGAAAGTGTCAGGTTTGGACTTGTGCTACGGCTTGGCTTCTTCACCGTTCATTGCTTTATAATCTACAAGAACTGTGAAGGGCAGTTGTGCACTATTAATGACTTTTTCCGAAAGACTTTTCCTTGTGTTACTCTGCCTGCCCAGTGCTGGGATGTTAGGAAGTGCCCCTGTTCCTCCCATAGCTCTGAGTTCCTGAGCCCCAGGATGGGCGAAACGTTGCTGAGCCTTAGGTGTGGAGAGGTTTCCTTTTGGGGAATGGAGAGGTTTGACCAGCTGTTGTTAAACTCAATCCCAAAGTGCTTCCCAGGGAACTTGGAATTTGTATAACTGGGATTCAGGATCCTAGGAGATGGGAAGAGCCCAGCTCCTTGGCCAACTTTCCTTTGCTGTAGGGCAGGTGAGCTAGACAGTGAGTAATTTGCATTTAAAATTCACCTTCCTCCAGCCCCGGAGAGCTGTTGTCATGAAGTGAGGCAGTGGCAGCTGCTGCTGCTTGTCCGTTCTCTGGTGTTTGGAGGCAGCTGCACATTGACTGATGTTCTCTTGTCTCTGGTTTCTCAACCCCTGTCTGATCCAGTTCTTCCTTCTTCTCCTGGCAGGCAGCAGTGGTGCCCACAGCTGGCGGGCAGCTGTGGATATTTGGCGGGGAGTTTGCATCTCCCAACGGGGAGCAGTTCTATCATTACAAGGATCTCTGGGTCCTGCATTTGGCTACCAAGACCTGGGAGCAGATCAAGTAAGTAACGGGCTGTCTTGTCTAGACCATGCTTTTGCCAAGGCAGATTGGACCGGATGATCCTTGAGGTCCTTTCCAGCCTGATATTCTCTGATTCTGTGGTGTTTTCTGAAGCCAGTGATGTTGATCTCCTGAGGAACTGTGCCAGCATGGTCTCAGTTTGATTCCTGCTATAGCGCTGTGATTTCCCAGCTGCCTGCTCTCTCCTTTGAGGACAGAGGTGCCCATCCTGGAAATGGTGGAGAGGGCGGCCTCGGAGAGGTGGAGATGAGAGACGTGTTCCAAGGCTGAAGAGGTCAAAGCTGATCTATTTAATTTGTGGTGTTTGGAGCATGAGTGTGCTTGGGTGTTACTTAACTGAAGGAAAGTGTATCGTGAACAGCACTCGGTCCTCCCAACCATGTGCAGACATCCAAAACAGTATTTGTTGCTCCATTTGCCTGCACTGCTCCTGACTGGACTGTACAAGACCAGTACGAGGATCTTTCAGTTTTACCGTTGCTTGAGAAGACAGCTTGTGCCTGTTCACAGAACCAGCTTCACTCCTGATAGCTGGTGTTTGCTGCCTCAAGATTCCTTGGGATAAACAAGCCAATAATTCAGACCTGTCAAAGTAAAGAGGTGCCAAAAGCCCTGGTAGTTTTTGACAGGAATGACAGTGTGTAGGCCAGATCCACAAAAGATAATTAAAGTCGTCTGCTTAGGTTCCCTTAACCTCTGGCTTCTTGGTTTTGCAGTTCATTTCTGTTTGCGTGAGAGAAGAGATCGAGTGGGTCATCCAGTGGACTGAGAGCCAGGTGGTGTGGCTTTGGCTCCGACTTTGATAGATGTTCTCTTGGACTTTGGGATTGTTTTGACTGTGGGATTTGTTGGCGCACAGCTTTAGGTGGGCTAGAACTCTCGTGCAGGTCACCTTTGAGGTGGCACTGGGGAAAGCAGCAGGTTTGGAACACTTGCTCATCTACTATTTGACCTGTTAAGCTCCTGGTTATGAGCTCTGTGTCCCTCTTTCAGGTGGGAAACCCTAAATCTGCTTTGACTGATCACTTTCCAGGTGCCCGTTGTCTGTCTGTCTCTTCTTGGGTGGTAACTGAGAGGAGGGTTTAGGACTGAGCTGTGCAGAGGTGGGTACCTGGACGCTGCCTTGGCACAAGCCTGAGGCCACACAGTGAGTCATCGCCCCTCGCCGCCTTTTTCCCCCACCTCCCTGCAAAATGGTAGCATTCATACTTCCTGACGAGAGGGAAATTTGGAGGTTTAATTTTTCAGATGCTAATGTACTGAAGTGAGTCTGGTCTGGAAGGTGCAGGGGAGCATATAGAGGCAAAGTGCAAAAATCCCAAGGAATCCAAACCAAGCTGGGTCAGGAGGAGGCTTCACAGGATGCCAGCAGCCAACTGTTCTGCAGGAATTCAGGGATCATCTCTTCTGAGTGGCTCTGGGAGGCTGAGGGAAGATTCTTTGAGTCGTAAGCAACTGGTTCCCGTCCGCCAGGGTCGTTCTTGACTCCAGACCCGGGCAGTGTTAATCTAATAACAGCTGTAATTTGCTGCGTTATGGGAAGCCACGTTTGCCGTAGTGAGCGTTACTTGTCTTTGTGAAGCGAGGGTGAGAGAAACCCTCCAAAATTATGGAGGGCTCTTTAAGAGGTGCGAGGATTAAAAAGACCTGTCACTGTGCAGGCTGATCTGCCTATTGTTGTTAGGCAGAAGCTGACGTAGGGACTGTGACTGTACCCCTCCCAGCTCCCCCAAAATAACTTCTGAATCCATTGCTCAATCTCAGCCAAATAAAGGGGATGAACTCAAACGCGTTCCGTCCTCGACCGTTTCGTGTAAGCAGACGGTGGGGAGGAGGTGGTGCTCGCTGAGAGAAGGGGTTGACATTTCAACCAAACTCTTGGTTGAAAAAAACTCCTCACCGGAGAGCAGTGTTAATACCCAGCTGCAGGGAGAGCGAGGGCAGGAGACTGGTTTTTGTGAGCTGTCGGAGAATCTGGATGAGGCTTCATTTGCTCCACCACTGATGGCACAAGCCGTTCTCTTGTGAGTTTGCAGATGCATCGCTGGAGAGCTCATTTAGGGTTTTCCGCTCCCAAAACAAATGCTGTGGTACCTGACCTGCCTGCAGAGAGGAAACGAGGTGGTTGTGAGGCTCTGCTTGTCCCACATCTTATCCCAGGTGGGTTCCGAGTGTAAATGAGACTGCCTGGAGCTGAGCGTGAAGTTGGGAGTTGCAGGATGCCCCCAGCGGTCCCAGGCCCCACGTGGACTCAAACCACAGCGAGAGGTTTTGTTGTGATGGGTTAAATGACGGAGGGAGCCCGACTGGGAAGGCGAGCTCCTGGTCCCCCCTAGGGAGCAGGTTGTGGGTACCGTGCTCTGCACGCTCCCCAGACCTGCCCTCCGTCACCCGGCCTCGGTTGTCCCATGGCGCCTTGGTGGCCATTCTACAGCAAGAGGATGCATTTGGAGACATTGATACTTTGTTGTTTCTCAGTAGATAAAAGATTAGATGTTTTCTAATTGAGCCGAATAAATTATATTGGTGACAGTGCCCTGGGAAGGTGATCTTCTCTCTCTCCCTGCCCCATGCAGGATCTGCTCCATTCGCGCTTCCTCATGTGTTTGGGGCAGTCAGTCTTTCAGCCTTGCTGGAATTTTGACGACACTTGTGCCCTGGTCCCAGCGTTTGAATAAAACAAAGTGCATCTCCTCCCCATGCTTGGGCAGAGCTCCAGGAGCTGCATTAATGAGGCATCTGGCAGAGGGGGCTGGGAGGGGATGTCTTTGTTTTAATGCTAACCTGACTGAGTGTGAAAATCAAGTTTCTGCTGCCTCTTTGCTTTTCCGTAGGGCATCCTGATTACAGTCTGCCTGGAAGGGGAAGAGGAAAGGGCAGAGATGATTGTTGACTCGTACAAGGGATTTTTTTTTTGCTTTAAAACTATAATCATAACACGTGCAGCATTTGACTTCCTTGAGCATTTTGCTCTTCTTGCCAGGGAACCCCCTTGCTGCTGTGTTTTTCTCGGCATAGGTTTCTCTCGTCTGTCTGAAGTCAAGCATTTGCTTATTTTGGATTGCTGGTATCGAGTAAACTCAGTTGGATTTGGAAGACCTCATTTTAGTGCAAATAAAAGAATAACATAATTATTCATGAAGAAATGTGTGGACGAGAGAAACAAAGTTTCTCTTTCTCTTCCACGAGGGAAGAATTACATGTGCCCTCTTTCAAGTCGATTCCAACGCATTGATGTGTGTGGATTGAGTAGCTGAGATGACTCTTCTGTGATCTGAACTTGCGATTCTAGGAAATCGTTATTGCAGCCCCACAGCTTAGATTTCAATTACATTGTCCTTCCTGGCCTGCAGTTCGTGCCACAGACCGTCTTGGTGCCGTTAAGAGGTTTGACTGTAAAACACTTCTGAAGAGAAAACCTTCAATAACTCATCCTTGTGAATAACATCCCTGTGCTGTGTCTGCAGAGGCTGCAGGGGAAGTGGATCTCCATTATCTCCTAGCACAGAGCACAGTGGTGCCCGCCTGCTTGACAGAGTTAAAAAATCACTATATTTAGCTGTATTTACTTGCATTTTGCATGATTCAGACAACAAATCCCAGCCTGTTAGAAGACTTGCCAGCAACCGACTTCGACTCGTTGGAACCACCTTATCATGTGTGATGCACAAGGTTGCCTCAATGCATGAACTTGTTGTTACTCTGCTTTAGAGCTAAGCAATATTTTAACCTAATTGCCTCCTTCTTTCCTAGAAAGAACATTCCTACTCAGCTCTGTGTGGCCCAGTGCACTCCCTCCAAGAGCGATGGGGAGCAGCGCGCTTCGGGGGTGTGCTTGGGAACTGACAGATCCCTCCTCTCTGTAGTTCTTCGTCTTGCTTTTGAGCCTGTGTAGCTCCCTTCCCTTTAATACTGGCATGTTAACGATACTTCCCATAACGGTTTGGCGAGATGCGCTGCTATAAATATTTCAGGGTAGCATTTCACAAGCATATGTTTAATGCTGTTTACAGAGAGAACTGGAGCAGGGGCTGCGGTGCAGGCTGCCTTTTGGCTTAAATTTGTTTCTGACTGATGGTTCATCTTCCTCATGTGCTGTCTGTCAGCAGTAAGGTCAGGTCCTGGAACACAAGGGAGCAAGGTACGTTGATGCTTAAAGAAAGGAAGGGTATTTTGGTGTACTGTCGGGTAGACTGAAGGATAAAATTGCCCTTTTATGGGATGTTCTGTGCATCATCACTGTAATTATTATGGAAAAGTTCTGAGATTCATCTGAGTGTCTTCTGGTCGGAGGAGTGAATGAGAAAGTAACTCGCTCTGCCTGCAGCCACTATGCACATATAAGTCTTTAATTCTTGAATCTGGGGGCTGAATTGAGGTCTGTTATGTTACTATAAGTCCCAGAGTAACTCCACAAGCAAAAGCAAATTCCTTTTGGAGCAATTCTGATCAAACTCACGCTGTACGTGTGTGGAGCCGGTCCTTATCCAGACTTCTAATCTATTTTTACGAAAAAAGCCTGGAGAATTTACAGCTCCCTCCCACATGTCTGCTTTCTGGTGTCAACCCTATGAAGCGGAGCATTAATCATAAAGTCTGTGAAACCATTTCCAAAGTGCTTATTTTGGACCATGAGCACTGATACAGGTGGAAAGGAGACAATTTGCATTTGGCAAACAAGTCTTGGAGCTTGCAGCAGGTGCCTTCTGGAGTGGCAGCGTTTTTCTCTCTCCGCAGAAATCCATCCCTGCACTTTGCAGCCACCTGCTGCCAGCTGAAGTGTAGCCCTAGGGTTGTGGGTTTAGGTTCTGCCGTTGTTTTTGAGGGTGAGCAGGTTTCTCATTTATTTAGGCTCCCATTCTGTAACCGTTTTGCGCCCGTTAACGCTGCCGATTTGAGAAATCCTGCCGAGGTCAGCCGTGCCAGCTGCGTGTGCTTCGGGAGACTCCGTGACGCGAGTGGGAATGCGATAGATGAGTCCATGGGGGCAGAGAAACGCGCAAAGCCAAACCCTGTTCTCTCTGCCGTTTGGCCTGAAGTTGCTTTTCTTTTGAGAGTTTTTGCAGTCCTCTTTTTTCTCTCTTGTATGATGATCAGTCTGTGGGTGAACATGAGGGAAGGTGAGTCTTCTGCGCCTCTCAGGGTTAACATTACCAGCTGCTTGGCTTTGCGTGAAGCTTTTGGATGTGACAGATGGGACGTTGTTGCTTGTTCCTGGAAGTGGAAGTGGCACGTTTAACTGAAAGGTCAGGAAGGCTTGAAAGAGCGGCGCGGTGATGCGTGGCTGCTTTGTAACGTGTAGGATAATAACGATGACTCGTTTCACCGCGTTGCCTTTGTGCTTGAGGAAATCTTAAGTATTGTTTCCAAAGTCTTCTCACTAGCTGGATGTTGTATCCTGACTGCAGGCAGGTGAGTGAAAACAGCGTAGGTACTTGGTTTGCTAAGTGAGGATGTCAGAGCTGGGCTCTGACTCTTGCCGTGGTACTTGGAGACAACATCTGGCTGGAGTGCCTTTCTTGCAGTTAACTGCTGCTCGTGAAACTCTGCTGACAAATTAGCTCCTGAATCATAGCAGAAAAGACTTGAAGACTTTGAGTGTTGCTGGAGACTAGGTGGCTTACCACTAGGAATAAAATCGTTACTGCAAAATGCCTGTGTGGCAAATACCAAGAGGTAGAGGAAGATCACGCTGTTGTGGAGAGAAGCGTACGTATGTATTAAAGTAACAAAGTTCCCCGTCGTTTCCCATTCCAGAAGCTGAACTTGGCCAGCCCAGCTGCTTCAATAAAAATGGACTCCTACACTAACAGGAAAGAGAATTTTGCTGATAAGTGGAATTTCTTTGCCTTTCAGGTCATCGGGAGGTCCCTCGGGACGAAGCGGGCATCGAATGATTGCTTGCAAAAGGCAGCTGATCGTCTTCGGAGGTTTCCATGAGAGCGCAAGGTGGGTTGCTGCAGGATGGCTGATGGTATTGAATCCTTCATCAAAAAGACTTCACCAGTAACGGAAAAACGGGATTTAATGGAAGGATTATCCCCTGCACTACTATTATTGAACTAGACTTTTATGTTAGAAGGACAAGTGGTCTTGATTTAACGTCTTCAAGAGTTTGTGGCACTGTTGTACCACTTAGCTAATCACTGAAGTAGCTACTCGTCCTTGTAGCTAAAGTTCAATACGTCACTTTTGGCCTCTGAATTTTGTCAAAGAGCCTTGTCTTCCTAGAAACATCTTCTCCAGTAGGCTCTCACACGTGCATGAGGTCACAGCTGCGCTGTCGTGGGGACTCTGAAGGGAGCTGAGCTGCGTATTGTCTCGCAGACAGTAAGCAGCATAACTACGGGCCTTGGGAGCACAGCACGAGTTGCAAAGCTCACCCTGGCCTTGGATGTGGCCTTGGGAGTTTAACCCGTGCAGAGCATTTTCCACTAGCAGTATGTGAGCTGGCTAGTAGAAAGAGAACAGGACCAATGTATTTTTTTCCTAGCCCCCTAGACAGACATAGCTCTTACCGGTTTTGGTCTTTCGTGTTGTGGTTTAAGTTACATTGGACTGTGCTAACTGGAAAAAGTTGATAAAACTTCTTGTAGTAAGGAGTGAGACAGGTAAAAAGGCACGTGGAGAGGTATTGATTAAACTTATCTCTGTCAAATGCGAATTTTTGCAATGAAATAGTAACCTTCACCTGAAGAAAATCTTTTGTACATTGCTACAGCTAGAAGGAAAAGAGCCAGAAATACAAGGAGTTGAGTAGAGGTGTTGCATCTCTTCAGAGGTTCCTGATGTGATATTTTATCATTGAAAAAAAACGTGGGATGTCTCAATTTGCTCTCCCTAGAGATTACATCTATTACAACGATGTGTATGCTTTCAACCTGGACTCCTTCACCTGGAGCAAGCTGACTCCATCAGGGATCGGACCTGCTCCGAGATCCGGGTGTCAAATGGCTGCCACTCCTGAGGGCAGCGTAATCATCTATGGAGGCTACTCCAAACAGGTAGGAGGGATTTTGTGGTAAGCCAGCAGTCTGCTTCTTGGATTCTAAATTGCAGAGTTGATGGGAAAACTTCAGGGGCTAAAGAGAAAACTAAAATGGAGTCAACTCACATTGCCTAAGTGGGGCCAATATGATGGTCTTGACGTGTGTTGACTGTGGAGCAACGAGCTTGGGGGATCAAAACTGAGATCCCAGTGCTGCAGCTTCCCTGTGCTCAGCTTCACAAGCCTTGTCTCCGGTGCGAGATGTGGTAAACTCATCGTGTAACTGCCTGCTGCTCTGACTGACGATGTTTCTGCCTGTCAGGCAGCTGCCAGATGTCCAGAAAATGTCAGTAACGAGGGTACGCGTTAGCCTGTGGTTCTGTCAGCTTGCAGTGAATGTGCGGTTGTGCCCTTGGATTGTTCGTACCCAGGATGGTTCAGGCTGCTGGCAACCAGTGCTGCTACCAAAGGAGGCTTCTTGTCTTCCGACTGTGCCTTCACACAGTTGTGTGTAGTTGAGGACCTTATCCTGGTTGAAAGGAATTTTGTGTTTTCCCTGCCAATCTAAGTCAGTAGAAGGAGATTACATCACAGAGGTAGGTAAGAAGCAACTGGGAGAAATGACTTTTTTTGGCAGCAATGCTGGCTACTGCCAGCTTAAAGCATTCTCAGGTAGTACTCATCGATGTTCCGGCACTTACAGCAGCTGCCAGGAGACTTGTCTTTTCTGGCCTCAGTGAAAGGGTTAAGGGAGCAGCACTAGTTAGCAAACTCAATAAGCCAAAGAAGAGTTTTGATGAGCACCAGGCTTCCTCTGCTCTGCTTCTTGCTTTGTTAATTGTGGTAATTTATACTAGATAGCCCTTTAGACCATATGTCCTCATTGACCAAGTATCCCTGTCTCCATGCTGCGCGGGAGGAAGTAAATATTTCATTGAGCAAAAGGCTCCTGCAAAAGCTTTTAATGTTGCGAATGCAGACAGAAGACCCGGATCCTGCTGCTCCTGTCTCAGTGGAAAGGCATCGCTTCCAGCAGCGCGTTGCTGGGGGAGGAGGACGCCTTGTTCTTCTGATGTGAATAAATGAACAAAGAAGAAAAGCAGGGAAAGGGGAAAGAAGATAGTCTGTCTATATATTTAGAAGCATTTGTGCCTCCTCACGGCCTGCGCTTAGGGCTCTATCTCGTCAGATGTGCATTTGATTAAATAGCAGTAACAATACAGAGGCATTTTCTACCCAAAAGGGCTTTGTCCTCTTCCGTTCTCTGTCCTGTTGCCTCATTCTTGAGGGTGGGAAGGAAGCATGAGCCTGCATGCTATGCTAGATGTGGATCTCCCGTGGCTACTGAAAGCAGCAGGGTTTCAAGTGCACGCTGAGCCTCACGGAAATATAAAAGTCGATGTGTGGTTGAAGTTGGTTCTTTTCCACTTTACGAAGGTGGGCTCTGTTGCACTGCTCTGAGTTGTTTTGCGCTAGTAGAAATGAAGTAGAAGCTATGTGGGAATGCAAAGCTGCCTTCAACCTTTATGCAGGGCGCTGAGCAAGTATTAGAGGTGGGTGCAGTTTCTCTCCACCTTGGAGAACAGCTGTTGGATTAAAACAACCTCCTGTTAGGAATCTGCTTCCTTTGTATCAGAGAGAGCAAAGTCTGCTTCTCTCTGTGCCCTTCCGAACAGAGACTTTGCTTGTGTGTTCTGTAGCACAAGTGAACTTCCAGGCAGGAGTGGTGCGGCTGAGCTGCAAACTGTCCAAAGCACTGGACAGGATTTCCTCTGGACTCTCTCAAGATGCGAAGGCAACAAACCTTTAGCACACTCCTGAAAATTTAATTCGGCAAGGTTTAGCCCCTCGAGGAGAAGCACTACTTAATTAACATGTGGCTATTTAAGTCTCATTGTATCTTTGCTTACAGGAGATTGTGGAGCCGAGTCTCTCTGGGTTTACTTCGAAGGGAAGAAAGCGTGTTTGGCTTGCGTAGCCCCTCCAGAGTCATAGGCTGGAGTACTCTTGGGAGAAGTAAGAGGTAGATGGTGGAGGAAGCAATGCTTAATTGGAACTGAGCAGGCACAGGAGAAGACCTATTCCTTGTCTCTAATTAGAGAGCCAGATGGAGTGCTGTGAAGATGTTTTTTGGCCTATGAAGACATGTTTGCACATGAAACCAGGCAAGTGTCGAAGCAAAGGGCCATTCAGCCAGTAGAGACTTCGGTTGTAATAAGAGACAGGGCTCAGTTGCACGCGAGCTGTAAAAAAGGTGCAGGTTTGTGTGGAAGCCTCCTGAGGCTGGAGTCGCTACCGAATGTGTGCGCAGTGTTGGTTTGGAGAGAAGAGGGAAGGGAAATCGTAATAGCTCCTCTGTTTTAGCGCCAACACGATAGGCCCGTCACGTTGCTGGACGAGAGTTGTGGCGAGGCAAGGCTGCTTCTCCTGTGATGGGCAGTTCTGATACGTTCTGTCCTGTGGTCCCCTGAGCCCTTCCAAATCTGCTTTGAGGTACTGTACCAAAATAGCTGTGAGATGTGGTGTCATGCGTGTTGCCTAGGGCAAAAAGAAATGTAAGCCTGGGAGATTCATGGTCATGGGTGGAATTGTAGGCATCTTTGTCCCCAGCTGGCTCCTGGGGCTCTGTAAAGCCGGTGGAATACTTACCAGCTTGCAGCCAGGGATGTTCCCCCGACCGAGTGGTCGATCTGCCCGTCCTCAAGTCTTGCCAGCAGGCCTCAGGAGCTGGGAAGGCAGAAGCAGAGAAGCTTAGTCTCTGCTTTGATTTTCTGGGCTGTAATGCAGAATGGAGCGGGGAAGGCCAGTTTTCAGTAATGTCTGTCAGTCCAGGCTGTGTTGCTGAATTCACTTCAGCGCGACCTGAATAAGAAAGTCTCTTTCCTGACTGGGGAAATAGAGGCAGGAAGGGTGAAGTGACTCTTCTGAGGCACTCCAGTACTTGTGTAGAGTCAGGACAAGAACCTTGGAACCCAGACATGCCTGTGCCTGTGCCTGTCCCAGCCACTGGATTTTGCTCACTGGGCTGCAGATGGTGAAAAAGCAGCTTTACAACCTGGGATGCAAGTAGCTTGAGACGTTGGTGCACATTTTGGCAAGACTGTGACTGATATTTTAAAATGCACAGTGTCCCTGTGTTCATCTATTTCATCTTCAGCCTAGGAATGATAAAGGCAACTTCTACGATCCCTTGCCAAAGGGGGATGTTGTGAGCGTTGTCAGCTCCGCCCGAAACGTACCTCACAATCCCGCAAGGAGCTCAGACTTGTTCTCCTGCTGATCTTAAAGATGTCCTCGCCCGTTTCTCGTGCTGGGGATGGGGCTTGCTGCAGCGAGCTGCGTTTTTGGCTGTGTAAAGCAGTGAGACCTTTCTATTGCTAGGCAACGTGAGCGCGCTGTGCCTCACTGGCACGGCGAATGCAGCCGGGAGGGAGGCGTTGGAGCCCAGTGCTGCTCTACCTTGCAGGTGCAAGCAGCCTGCAAGCCATGGGAGGGCTGGCGTGACACGCGTGTGAGGCTTTTCGGATGCCAAAGGAGACTAGCGCCTGTGGGGTTTTGTTGTTTCTGAGGCGGTTTTTTATAGCGGCAAGCTTTGCAACGCTGAGTTGGATTCTGCTGGGAGATTGCTTGTGGCAGGGCTGAAGTGTTTGCCTGAATTGCAAGGTCTGCCGGGACTGATTCTCTCTGTAGTTCTGCCTGTTAAGGGCTTCTGCTAATTGGATGTATTTTATCAGTGTTGAGCTCTTTTGTCAGATGTGTTTAACATGTTATACATGGAGAATCCTGATTCCTCAGGAACAGCTCTCGGTGCCTCAGTTTCCTTGCTCTTTGAAGGGGGATAAGCAGGTGTCTTGCTCCCTGTCAGCAGAGCTGGGTTTGATTTTAGCTAATGCCTGTAAAGCTCTTGCAACTTGCTCCCGTACCTGTATGCGCAGACAATAGGCTGTGGATATCCAAGCCAACTTTGTGCTTGAGAGCAAACACCTGGAACTTCAAGGCAAGAAGGACTGGGAGGAGAAGAGAAGCCTCTTGTGACTGACGGAGCGATTTGCACAGGGCAGGCGGATGCCCTGGGATTCATCTCTCCAGGAACAGTGTGCTGCAACCTGGTGCAGTGTCTGCTTTGGAGCCAGCGCGAGTTGGGGAGAACAGGCATCTCTTTGACAACAAATAACTAACTCCCACTCCACCTCACTGGGGTTTTCTCAGCCCGAGAAGCTTTGTCATGTTGCGTACGCGGCGTGTTTACTACAGGGAGCCATGTGGTTTTCGGGAGGAAAATAATGCGGTTATTCTACGCAGCTTATGTGATAGTGAAGCCAGCTGCTCTTTCAGGGTTTTTTCCCCCTCCTTTTGTGCAGACAGTGCACATCTTGCCGTGCTTCTGCATGCTTCAAGCCTGTGTGTCCCCTGCATGTGTGGAGGTGGGCTCTGCCTGACACTTAAGAACAAACTGCCACCTTCCCTGGCAGCAAAGAGGAAATAACCACCGTTATCGGCAGCAGACAGGCACTTCACAGTCACTTAGGTGCGCTTCAGTGCTACAAGGTGTGAAGGCTCCTGCCGGCTGTCTCTCCTCTGCCAATCCATCCCTGACAGCTCTTTGCTCAGGTGAGGCTTCAGCGGCGTCCTGGGTTTGGTTAAGGTGAGGGGCAGACTTGAAAGGGTGCTGCATCTCAGCTGCCTGCAGTTGGGTGGTGTCTTCTGCTGCTCTAGATCTGTGTGAGAGAGGCAGCAGAGTGGGATGTTGCCAAAGGATGGCACTTGCTCGGCGCTGACTCACAGCCCTTTGAACCCAAGAGCTGCTGCTGTAGATGCCACGAGACGTGCACCACCTGGCTCTGAACTGGCGTACTCAGTACTTAACAGCACCTTTCCTAGAAGGCATTTCTTTCCCTTCCTGCCCTGACAGCTCGCTCTCAAGGGTCTGTTTCAAGTGGGCAGCTCCCAGCCCCTCCGTGCACATCTCCCAGCACCAGAGCTCCTCTAGCTGGGCCTCAGAACCACTCACCGACGCAAAATACTTGTCTCGCTTGTTTTCCGAGTGCCAGAGAACCGGCAGTGGCTGGAAGAGTCATCACTCTATAACCTCTTATACAGGAAACAGGACAGTTGCTGGTGTTTGTTCCTGCAGGCTTCCTGTCTCTTGTGTGCTCTGTTGCTCGAGGGCAGGAGGTGGAACAGTGCAGTTGCTGACTTCGTTGGAGTGGTTGCGCAGAAGAGGATCTCTCCAGTGTAGACATCCTGGCTCGAAGAGTCTGTGCCTTCTGGTTCACTAATGCGCATGGTTAGGTGCACGTGGCGAGCAAAAAGACCTGTGAGCCACAGCTCCAAACGATCAGATTTCCCAGGACAACCCTGCAGACAGACCCTGGTCCTTAAGTTAACCGAAGCTTCCTTTTTTGCTGCACTGCGAGCAAAGTTCTCCTGTTTCCTCCGGCACTTCATTACCAGCCTTCCCCAGGGCTTCTCGGCATCATCCAAGTTTCAGCATTGTTGTGTAACGCCTCGAACACACTTTTCCTCTCTTCTGCCTTTCTAAGAACAGAATACCACTGCTGTGAATTGGATACCAGGCTCTGCAGCGACAAACAAACCCTGCCAAGTGCAGGGCAGAGCTGGCTGCAGAGGTGCAGCAGGAACGGGACGGCGCCATGCTGTTGCGATATAGGGTGCACCCAAGCCCCAACCCTGAGGACTGGCCCCAACCCTCCCTGCACCCTGGGAGCAGTTACACTGCCTAGCGATGCCGTTGCCCCCTAGGAGGAGGGGAATTGCAAGGAAATAGGAGCTCTGCATGAAGGATGGGTGGATAATGATCGTATTGAAAGGCCTCCTGCAGTGGTGTTGTGTAGTGCTGCTTTCAAATGCTGCATGTTGCTGTTGAGCACTGGAGTACAGGGGCTTACAGTGAGAAGAGCAAGAGAAAATTGCATTTAAAATGATGCGTTTTCTTGCTTCCACTGAGGCTTGATTCTGCGCTTGCTGGTGTCTCACTGTTGCCTTTAGTAGGGTGGACGTGGGACTTCTCTTTCTATTCAGGAGGAAAAACCCTGTTGGGCAAGGCTCTGTGAGGCCATTAATTCTAAAAAAGGCAGTTGCAGTAGGGCTGTGGTCTCCTTTTGCCTTGGTGCTGCCCACCCCTCCTTCCACAAAACCCTTGGGTTTAATCCCTTGTGACAATTCATTTCTTAAACTGGATCTGTGTCTTTGTATGACCCTGCATCCCAGGATCTGTGTTGCGGCCTGGAGAATCATGTCTGGCTGTTGCAGGCAGAAATCCGTCGTGGCTCACTTCGGACACTCGCCCTGGTTTGAAAGCTGTGGTTTTGTGAGCTGAGTGATGCTCCAGAGCTGCAGCATCACACCCTGGGGAGCTTTCCCTTGCCCAGCCACAGTTTTTGCATTTTCAGCACAGGAATATACAGATCCTCGCTGTGGTTAGGCTGGTCCGTGGCGTGGGTGACTTTCTGGGCCTTGGAAAGTTGGACCTCCCGTGTTTTGGGACCACTGAAACTCTTTCACTGAGCATCCCTGTCTTTCTCTTCACAGAGAGTTAAGAAAGATGTTGACAGAGGCACGCTGCATACAGATATGTTCCTGCGGAGGGCTGAAGGTGCAGGGAAGGAGGAAGGTAAGCTGCTGCTGTGCTCCAAGTGGTGCTGTGGGACTGGGAATGCAAATCCTCTCTCTTCCGTTGAATAACAGACCAAAAGACCCCGTGCCTAGTACAAAATCTACAGCCTGAAAAGATGAAGCTGCGTCTGCTTTGCTAAGCAACGGTTTCTGGTTCCCCAGAGTCATGGTTCTGGGCTCCAGGTGACTTGATTTCTGAGCTGAGGTAAATGGTAGCTCAGACACAGCGAAACGCTGCAAGGATCAGAGCTGGCTGAGAAACTGGCAGAGCTCTGGCAGGAAGTTGGGATACGCGTCTTGTCAGAGAATTACCTTGAGCTCACATCATCATCTATGTTGACACTTCCCAGTTGTTCCTGGAATAGTCTTGAGATGGAGCGGAGGGTCTCCAGGCGTAACTGTGTGAGCAGCTCTGCCCTGCACAGACAGCTGCAGGAAAAACTACATTAAAAGATACTTTCTGGCTTTTTTGGTTTGTGTGTGGGAGGGAATTAAAACAACACTTTGAAATTCCTGTTCTCTGGGGCATTTTGATAGCTGCTCCTCTGTTTCGCAACAGAAAGTCTTTTGGATTTCAGAATTCTTCACACTGGGAATTCCTGTTTTGACAAATTCACTTTGGTAGTGGTGTCTCCTGGACTCATAAGAGAAGACTGGGGTGTGATCTCATTACCCACAAGAGTGGGTGTTGGTTGTTTTCTCTGAATGTCCCCAGAAACAGGAATTCCACCGGTTTCCTTTAGGAGAAGAGTGTATTTCGTCCTTGGCTTAGGGAATGGGACAATCTTCTTACAGCTGAATTTCTAAAATGTTAAAATTGTGATTGATTTCTTTAAACCTGACCATCCTAAAGTGGGATCTAGGGGGAATGGATGGTCACATATATTGCTGGATTCCACACCCTGCTCGCATTCTACCCTATTTATAGTTTATCACGGTGAAATTGTGGTTCCTTTGGAAACACGACACCCTAGCCTCGGTGCACATGCTTCTCCCAGCCTGCATTTTAGGGATTTCCTTGAAATCCAGAGCAGAAAGGATTGGACCCAAAGGAGAGTGTTTAGAGCACAAGCCTTGTTTAAACTGCACCCTCCTGTAAAGGTGTGTACATCTTTTAGAGGCTCTTTGCCCCAGAAAGCACACCCTGAAGGTAGCTCTGTGTTTTCTGTTACTGAAGACCCGGTGGCTTTCTATGGGTGGAGAGAACGTGTGCGTGTTTGAAGTGGAAACACAAGTGGCTCCGATGAGTGGTGGTGTGGAAGGCGCACCCTGCGCTTCTGAGAATGTCCAGAGTGGGTCATCGAGTTGCTTGCTGGAGTAACATGGGAAAATGATCCTTTGTCAACACTTACATTTTGCTTTTATCCACAGACAAGTGGGCGTGGAGTCGACTCAACCCATCCGGAGTGAAACCCACCCCCAGGTCTGGCTTCTCCGTGGCAGTTGGTCCCAATAACCGCTCCCTTCTGTTTGGAGGCGTGCATGATGAAGAAGAGGAAGAGAGCATCGAAGGGGACTTCTTCAATGATATTTATTTCTACGACATCGTGAAAAACCGCTGGTTTCCTGGACAGCTAAAGGTTTAATTTTAAAAATAACACAGATATATTCAGTTTATTCTCCTTGATCATCTGACACATGTCCTTTTGGGCCATTTTTTGGCCTTCTACAGTTTTCTTGCAGTGTGGAGCGAGCCTCTGTTCCTAATAACTGAGGGTGCTCCAGAAGCTGAGCCACCAGGTGTGGGTGCTGTTTTGATCTGGTTGTGTAGAAAGGGAGAGGCTGTAGAAATGAAGCTGATGATGTTCAACTCTAGCAGGTTTTTTGCTACCAGACCGACTGAATTCCTGGACTTTTTACCCCTTTCCTTCCCTGCCACATAGCTACTGTGCTCTCCGTTCCCCGCTTCTGCAGCGTGATGCAGGCTCTCGCCCTTTCTGGGGCGAGAGAAAGCCTGTGTGGCTTTTTGTGGAGTGATTCAAGAGGTAATCCCCCTCCTCGGAGTGGAGAGTCGGGCTGCGTATGTGCCTTGTTCTGTAATGCAAAATGAAACGAAGCAGCGTGAAAACATAGCGATGGAGTTTTCCTGGAGGCAGCTCCAGATCGGATACGTAAGCCTGGCATGAGATTGTTGGGTAAAAGCTGCTGTGAAAAGAGCTTGTGTAGCGTTAAGGATGAAAAAACGTCGAGCTCCTAGGAGAGATGAAATATTAACCTTGGCTCATAAAAACTTCAGAAATGTGGCCCTCAGCTCAGATCTTTGATTTTGTTTGAACCACTCTCGGGGGGCAAGTGAGGTGCGAATGACCTGGTTGAACTTAGTTCTTTCCATCCCCACTGCTTCTGGCTTTGTTCTCAAAAAGTCAATCCCCCAATAACGGGAAACATGCACTCAGATTTTTCCTTCTGCCTTCCTAGCTGACTGTTCTTCGAAGACCTAGAGTGCTTCCTGGTAATGCACTGTCATTTAGCACCCAGCGGGTGTTTTGTTTTCACAAAACGGGGGGTATTTTCTCTTGCTCCTGTCACAGACTAGTGGCCTCCTGCAGGATGGCGAGCAAAAGGGCTGTTCAACCTCTCTTCAGCACATGCTGCCATTCATAGAGGAAGCAATTCCATGCCGTGGCTTCTCCAGGAGTTTCCTTGCTCCTTGTTTTATGGCTGGTAGAAGTTTGCGATGAGTGGGAGGTTCCACCTATCACTCGAGACTTAAAATCGTAGTGAAAAAATCATGGAATTCTCCCCCCTCCCTCCCAGTAGCATCCATAGTATTTGGATTAACTGCCATACATGCAATTCACAGACAATCTCCTTCTGTTCCTTGTTCCTGTTAACAGGGACCAAAATCAGAGAAGAGGAAGCGAAGACGTGGCAGACAAGCTGAGACAGAGGGTGCTGGAGGCGAGGAGATGGAGGAGCCACCTCTACAAGGCCCGGTGGAGATAGTCAAAGAGGTGGTGGCAGAAGACGGGACCATCATGACAATCAAGCAGGTGATCTCTGGACCTGGAGAAGAGAAGTCTGAATCCGAGGAGGAGGAGGAGGAGGAAGATGGAGCCTTGAGCCAGCAAGTGGAGCCGTGCCCACGTTCGAATGCCATGCTGGCAGTGAAGCACGGGGTTCTCTACGTATACGGGGGAATGTTTGAGGTGGGCGATCGCCAGTTCACCCTCAGTGACCTCTACAGCATCGAGCTCCACAAGATGGAAGAATGGAAGGTGCTAGTGGAGATGGATCCAAGTAAGCTCTGATGACGGCATCTCTCTCTCTGCTTTTAGTGTAGTGATGCTCTACTAGGAAGAAAGCCCCACAAATATGGAGCTTGCTCAAGACGTGGAGATGGGCCTTTGAGCAGTGTTTTTTTCCTGGACGTGAAAAAGCTCAGGAGGATGTGATACGCTGTATCTTACGGTCACTCAGGGCTCTTAAGGAGCAGCTCTGTCTGACCTTGGCCTCGCATTCTCCACAATGGTTCTGGGTGTAGGAGTGGGTAACAGCTCGTTATTTCTCTCTTCTGTTTTCTTTCCTATTAAAGAAGCGCAAGAATGGCTGGAGGAGTCGGAGTCGGATGAAGAGGAGGATGATGTAGAAGGTGCAGAGGGAGGGGAGGAGGAAGAGGAGAGCTCAGAAGAGGAGAGTGAAGATGAGGGAGGTAATGATTAAGATGAATGATGTCTTCATAGTAATATAAAGTGGGGTTTGGTTCTACTGTTGGCCTGGAGGGGCTCGCTGGGACACTGCTTTTGCAGCAGAAGTGAAATTTCATTGGTTACTGGTAGTTTTTAGACTCTTACATCTAAACACATTAGCTGAAGAACACCAGCTTGACAGGCAGAAGAGCAGATTGACTTCATTAGCTGTAGACGACCTCTCTTTCTCTCTTTTGTTGCGTACTAGGAGAGGAGCAGCACCCGCCCGTGCAGCCCGCTGAGAAGCACGCGGACTACCTGGCCAGGACGGAGCAGTACTGGGTTAAACTAGCCCGCAGCAACATGGGCCCAGATGCCAAGGAGAAGAAGGTGGTCAAAGTGGCACACGCCATGGTGAAGGCTTTCTACGAAGATTCAGTCTAGATGTTGCTGAGGCTGTTCCATGGGGGAAGAGATACGCTGGGAGCAGTGGTTCATCCTGCTCAACTCAGGCTTGTCGATGTATCTGGCATCCTGGCACTCCAGCTTTTTCCTCCTCTGCGAGTGCCTCTGGGCTCACCAGGCCCAGCAGGACCGCTTGGTGAATGCTCTGAAATGCACTCTTTTTCCTCTGGAGGCTGTGGGAGGGTCTTGAGCAGCAGGATCGCTGTCCAAGCGCTTGTTCTGCCCAGGCTGGTATGTGTGATACTGTTAAATTTTTGTTCAAAAGTCTTGAGTCTGTCAAGACAAACTGCACATCACAACGGTTCACTGGTCCCAAATTCCCTACCTGGTCTGAGGCCGGATCGTGTCTCCAAGGGTTTCTACAATAAACTTATTTGGTTACATCATCTTGGTTTTCTCAGTTAATCTCATTGTAGCTTTTCTCCTTTTTCTTCCTGCTGTGTGTCACTGTTCCTGCTGTGAAATGAGCAAGTAGGTGGTCGTAAAATGCACCAGCAACGCCAAGGTGTGGCTGCACTGCCCGCAGAAACCTGGGAAGCCTTTCACACCTTTTCTGTATGAGAGCCGCTGCAGCCCCTTGGGCCTATAGCAGTAGGAATCTCTTCCTTTTTTAACATTATAGTGGGTTTTGCCTTTGCTTGTGGAATCTCCTGGTTTAGTTTCCTACAGGTTGGCCAAGAAAGGAGTTGTCCTATAAGTGAATTCTTTATGACCAGTGAAATTCCCTTGCCTGGTGGCATGCTGAGGAAGGGAGGGAGTGGGCTGACGCTCTTAAATATTATTTCTTTTATTCTTTTTTACTCCTGCTTCCTTGCTTAGCCCCTCTCCTCAAGGCATCGCTTTCTTTCCAGCACTGCTGTGGTCCGTAGGGACAACAGATGGGATACAGGTGTGTGTGCTGCAGCAAACAAACGGTGGCTTGAGGTGACACCAGAAGGCACCGACTCTCCTTGTGCGGGGAAATCCAGGGTGCCCTGGGTATTGTTTTGGCAGGGGCATCGCCAGGGAACCGGCTCTCAGGAGAGCAGCGCTGGGTTCTGCAAGGCTAATTAGAATGTAATAAAGATTAAATAGAGCAGGCTGCCAGTGTGGTTTAATTGTCAAGGTAAAGCCGTGTTTGATAGGAGGTACCTTCGTGCAAAATAACAGGCGAGAGGTGAAAACAAACCATTTATTGATAACTTAGCGAAGAAGTTCACCTCGATCCCGTTGACAGTTGATCCTGTGTGCGTATGTGGCTTTGTGTGCGTCCATGGCTTTCTGCACAAAGTTGCGGGGATCTGCCAAGAGTTGCATTTTGATTTAAATGTCGTTAACTATTTTTATTTGTTTATTTATGCTTGAAAAATAGTTCTAAAATACCAGCACAGCTCTTCATTCCAAGGGTGCAACCAGACAGGGCAAAACACTT